GCAACCAGAGACAGCAGGAAGGCCCACAGCCAGGTTGCCATTCGATGCCCACAGGCTCCCTGGTGTTCCTGTTTATCTGCTGGGAGCTGTGGGCTCTGGCTGGCTTGGGTCCCTGGAGGGACACTGGGCCCCTGCTTACAGGGGGATGTCGGTATCAGGGCCTCCACCCACCTTTCCACTCATCCTGCCCCATAGCTCTGAGGAGCTATGAAACCACACTGACTCCTGTGCCCCTCCGTGAGGGTCCAGCTACCACCTCAGAGTAGAAGGGACCACTCAGCTGGGCCCTAACCACACTCTTCCACATTGGCCCATGACTGAAGAGGGACCCTGGCACTAAGGGCAGGTGAGAGGGCAGCATCACTCCCTGGGAAGCTGTGGAGACCCCCTGGAATCAGCAATTGGGTTGATGAGGTCCCTTAACTACATGGCAAACCATGGTATGAGCCAGGAACAGCCCCACACCCCCCAGGGATGGGAATGTCATGACCCCACACAGGCTGGCTCAGTCCCACCCCACCCGTTCCCCAAGGATTGACAAGTCCCTCCTCTCTGACAGCTCACTGTTCATCTTTCCAGGGCTTAAATGTGCCGTAGACTGTGTGCTCGTGTGCATGTGTGTGGGCGAGGGGACATGAGGAAAGCCACCTCTCAGGTAGTCATCTCTCTGCTATAAGGTCTCTCCCCTCTAGTGGGGAGCCACGCTTGCTCTGGGCCCCACCATAAGGTCATCATCAGATGCCACGGGACTGAATTGTCCTGAGGCCTGGCTCCCAGCTCCTGGGCACACTGGAGCCTCCAAGAGCACACTGCGGGACGAAGGTGCATGAGGGTCCAAGGCGGCCTAGCCCGCATAGAGTGTGGAGACTAAAGGCCTCTGCTCCAGGAAATGGGGCAAATGGGCACTAGCACCTGAGACTATCGGAGTTGGTAGGTGAGATCATACCTTTGGGGCCACATGGGAGCCTCCCACCCACCCCACTAGTGTGGGCACATGGGCTTGGGCTGAGCTGCCAAGGCAGGGCTAGCAGCAGCACGTGGCTTTGCATGAGTCCTCATGGTTGCACGCTGGCGGGGCTGGCTGAGGGGGACCTACAGTGCGGCCTCAAACCCCAGGCTGCCCAGAGAGCCATGGAAGAGTCAAATGGGAAAAGACTAAAAGATAAGGCAGCCCGGAGTGGGCACAGAAACCTGAAGTCTGGGGCTGGCTACATTGGGCCCGGCCACCACCAGACCCGTCAGAGCAGCTAAGGCCCTTCTCTGGTCACAGTCGCAGGGCTGGGCTGGTGGGGCTGGGCAACAGGCCCTCGTTCCATGCACCTTCAGACTCCAAAAGGGAGAACCCCCACACAGAACAGACGAGAAGTGGCTGGCAGTGTATTTTTAAACGCTCATGTTTTTTTGTTTTTCCTCTCACGTTTTCTTCTCTTCTTTCCCCACAATTCTAATACCATTGTTTGTCAAACCCTGGCATCTGTGGCTGCAATTTCTTAGTGAACAATCATGTTCGGAAGTAATTTCACAGTCAGACAGAGCCGTAGGAAGGCTGCTGGCAACGAGAACAGGACAGCAAGGTTTGAGAAATTACTCGAAAGGGGAAGAAAACTCTTGAAAGTTTCAGGCCCACCCCCTACCCCAAAGGGAAAAAAATATGTATCTGAAGCGGTTTTGTACAAAGCCTTTATGCCGTGTCACAGGGGCCCTGTCTCTGCTGTTTCCATGTTGGGACATTTCACAAGGCCGCTTTCCAAAGCAGAAACAAAACCAGTCCCTCCCTCCCCCCACCACATCATCCATGTATACATGAGGGATAAAATTACATTTGTACAAAAATAGATTTTTTTTTTTTACCTTTCCCGATGCTTTAGACATCTTCTCTTTACTCTTTGCGCACGTGTGGCCCTCTCTACAGCGTCAGCCCTGCGTCCCGGCTAAGGCATGGCTAGAGATTGGGAACTGCAAAAGCTGTCTGCTCCAGAGCATCTTAAAATAGATGCACCTCCTCACCTTGAGAGTCACTCGAACCCAGATTTCACCAAAGGAGGGGTCCTTATGGACTTGCTTACACGAAGCAAATATGTAGGAAACAGGAAACAAAAGTCTTGATTAAAAATGAACACACGGTTGGTATGAGCTACATGCGCTGTGTGGCGAGGCGTGCGGCTCTCTGCATGCCACACGCATTATCTATGCCACACACCTGCACAATGGGAACGGACCGTGAGCCCTCGTCCATGACGGGGACAACATCAGCTGCCAGAACCCCCCCACCAGGCCCGCCCAGAGCTGCCATGAGGACAGACGGGGTCAAGGTGTCTCCTCCAAGAACCGAGGGTGCAGGCTTCCAGGGTCTTTCTGGCTGTGCCCACGTGATGAGGGCATGGGGCCTTCCACTGTCACATGGTCACTGGCAGGCCAGCTTCCTGATGGAATGTGGCAGGAGCTTGACTTTGCCCCCAGACAAGGTCATCTCTATCCTTGGTCATGGAGTCACCAATCTGATGTTAGAGCCAGGAGACAGCTGAGGTGTGTGCTCGGTGGGCCCAGGAAGAGGCAGCTCTGGGTCCCGTGTCATCCAGCCAGGCCAAGAGGGAACGAGCACAGGGTGGCTAACAAGCTGATGTTAGTGCTATCTTTAGAAAATTAAAGATTGTCCCACCAAATAATAATAATAATAATAATAATTACAAAAAAAATCACCGTAATTGAACCAGTTTTGCAAGGATACTAAAGGTCTGGTTAAATAACAATCTACCTCCACCCAGTAACGTGTCTTTTTACCCACGACCACCTTTTCAAACAGTGCTGTAGTTATGACAACAAAACCTCCGAATGGGGCGGGGACACTGGAAGAAGTCAAGTCGAATGATATGGATGCAGGGCGAGCAGAGGGTGGGTGATGTGGGGCAGCTGGGGGACTGCTGGTGGTGAGGGCAGTCTCCATGCCAGCCTCCCCCTGCTGAGCACCCCGTCCCTGGGTGTTCTCGGCCGCCACTGCCAGCATCCCCCTCAAGCCCAGGTGAGCAGCAGAGGTACATACAGGGGTGGTGCAGGCTGGTGGAAAGCTTGAAGGAAGAAGGGGAATATGGCTGCAGAAGGCACCGAGAGCTGGGTGTGGAGTTTGCTCTCCCACAAGTGGGACACCCCAATGAAGGCCCCCAGGAGTGCCCATGCCAATCTTCCAGGCACAAATGACCCCTGAATATGCTGGATCTAGGATGGGAGGCAGGGGGCGAACGTTCCGGGGTGGCCCTGCCAAGGGACAAGGGCAGTGGGAAACACAGATAAGGGCCTCTCCTCAGCAAAGGCAGAGGGAGGAGGCATTTGGGGACCTGATCGGCTCTGCCAGGTACCTCACACTTGGCTCAGGCGGGGACGGCTGGCAGGTGAAGAATGGACACTTTCTTCTCCCGAGGCCTGGAATCAGGCCAGCTACCGCCACCCTCCACTTCGAGCTGAGGAAGGCCTACAGGAGTTCCCCTGCACCAGGTGGGGAAGCAGCCACCCACACTGTCCCAGGGACCTGGGCCAGAGAAAGGGGGCTCGTGAGAGGCTGCAGAGAGAAGCCAACTGTTACTGAACACTCCTCAGGGGCCAAGAATGCCAGCCCTCCCACTGTCCCCTGTCCAGGCCCCCAAGGACAAACTCAGTGTCTGAGATATGAATATGGACGGTACCCAGACCCAAGAGAGGGGGGCTATGTGCAAAGAGGCCAGTTCACCTGAGAAAGCCCTGCCCCTTAAACAGAGGCTCCCATCCCAAGAGGCAGAATACATCCTCTGGGCTGGGTCCCAGGTGCCACAGAAGGGATTGGACAGGGCTGGACCAGGGAGGCCAGGAGGCCCTGTGCTTCCACTCCAAGCAGGAGTCTAGATGGCATCCACACCCAACAGGCCCGAGGATGCTGGGCTCAGTGGTCCCAGGGTTCCACACGTCGTCCAGACAGAATGGCCGAGAGAACCAGGCTCTTCCTGCAGACTGCCCTTGCCCCAACTTTGCCACAGCCCCCTGCTATCCCATGCTTCCTGTCCCCTCTGGAAGTCCTCGACCACTTGAAGACCTTCTGGGAAAGGCGACCAGTAATCACTGGTTCCCCAGAGCCTTCTGGGTGACTAGAAAGATGGCCAACCTGTGCTGAGGGAGTTCTAACTGACACCAGCAGGGCTCACCTTTGAAAGGTCCCTCCAGGAAGCCAATGAGGCTGGCCTAGCCCTCAGGGAACCAGGGACTCGCCTTGGCCCACTACAGGTGAAGAGGAGACTGGGGAAGGGGAGGGGAGGCGGGAAGCCTCAGTCTAGCGACCATAGGATGGATATGAACAAGGAGGGGGTGGGAACCAGGGCGATGCAGAGAAAACTGAGGGGATAGGGAGTGGCCTCCAGCCCTGCAGCCTTAAAGGTAGCCCCCAAAGCCCCGCATCCCGAGGTGGGCTTGGCTATCTTGCAGGTTATCTTTGGAAAGAGGGTTGCTCATCCAGCACTCTGAGAAGGGAGGCATGCTGGCCTTGGACAGCATGCCCTCTCATCTTCCTGGGGCCATGCAGGGTCTTCAGCAATGGAACACCAGCCTGTCTACCTGTCCTCTCCAGCCCCTAGGGGTGCCCACAGGTTTGCTGGGTGCCAATACTGAGAGGAGGCAAAGAAGGACCACTCCAAGCAAAGGAGGACCACCGGGAAGCTCACAAACAGAAACAAGCCACCTGCCCTCCCAGCACCTTCAGCACCTCCAGCTCCAGGAGCCCACAGGTCCCCACGCCGCCCAAGCTCCCCGGGCAGACGCAGGGTACCTGCAGAACCCTTGTTCCAGATCTTACTGTCCCCGCCGGTGCCCTGGGAGGCTGCTGCCTCAGTCCACAGACAAGTATAGTGAAAATAACAAGGATGACAACACATCTCTTAGGTGTAGCAGTGACAGGCGGTCCCACAGGTCCACAGGCAGAGAACGGGGGACGGGTTCAGGCTGAAAAGAGCAGCTGGCGGGTGGCAGGGGCCGGCGGGGCTCTAAGTCATTTGGTGCGGGGCCTCCAGCATCTCCATAAGGAAGGTGTCAATGGGTGTGTCCCCGATGAGCTTGAAGAAGAAGAGATGTTCCAGGCACTTGAGGCCGATGGAGCGCAGGGCGGGTAGGCGGAGCAGGAGCTTGGCAAACCTGGGGGAAGGGGGACAGCTGAAGCAGGGGCTGGAGGTTCCTCCCCCCTCAACCCTAGCACCTGGCAGGCTCTCTCTGCCTATCTCTGACCCTGGCATGCAGCATGAGGCCTGTCCAGGCTCAGGAGGGGCATTCAGGCAGAGAAGCAGAGGGTTCAGAGGCCCAGAGATGGGGACACAGGGTGGATGGGAGGACCCAGAAAACTGAGAGGTGAGCCAGGAGTGAGACAGTGGGCCAGGGTGGGCTGATCAGGGCTTGATGTGAAGATTAAGAAACAGAGGCTTTCTCCAAGGGCAATGGGGAGCCATAGCAGGATCTAAAACAAGGGAGAAAGCAGTAGGAATGGATCAGAGCACCAGGCTCCCTCTGGCTAGAGGCTGCAGCAGCCATCAAGGAGAGGCAGTGGGGCTTGAGTGGTGGCAGGATGGGATAAGTGAGTGGGCAGCCCCAGAGGTGACAGGGTATTGGGGACGGCCTGAAGAGTCATTGTGGGCATTGGGGTCTGGGCCTACCATTGGAAGTGGAGCCCCTCCTGAGGAGGCCTGTTCTTGACACTACCACAGAGCTGAGGGTGCTCAGGAGAGGGCTACCTGTCTCCTGCCCACCCCTCCCCAGAAATAGCTCTGCTGGAGCTGGAGCCAGAGGCCCAGGCACTGGGTGGGTCAGCTGACGCCCATGGAGGCGGAGGCAGACGGGCAGCACCTCCGCTAAGGCCCTGCCTCTTCTGCTGCATTTCCCAGGGAGGGGCAGGGAAGGGGAGAGTCTGGGCTATCTCAGAGGAAGAATGTCAGGGTCTGCTGCTCCTTGCTCAGACAGAGGACAGCAGGCAAGCGGGACTTGTTAACCACCAACACTGTCCTTCATTTCAGAGGTGGGGTTGGGGAGGTGGGGGAACAAAGCAGCCTGGGCCGGCTGCTACACAAGCCCCGTTGTAAAGACAGAAACGAAGTCCAGAGGCTGGAGCCCAGCCAGGGAACGCGCTGTTTTCTGCTGAGCTGGCGCAGTGGGCCGCGGCGGGCGGGCAGCCAGGACAAACAAGCGCCCGCCACCCCTCCCACCGCCGTCCCTCAGTCCGGGAAGTTTCACTTTAAACCAAACCAGATGAGGCTGAGCTGAAAAGGACCTGGTTAACTGTGTGTGCGCCAGTGTGGGGCGGGGCCCTGGCTCCTAGTCGGCTCAGCACCCCACACACAGTCCTTGAGATCAAGAGCCACCTTTAGGAGGTTACAGATTTTGAATCCCAGGAGTCCACTCCAGTTTCACACCCTTCCCTGTGTGCCCACTGTTCACTGGCACTGGGGACCGGAAAGGAGACACACCCCAGCCCTCCAGGCCCCAGTCAAGTGAATAGATGGGCTCTGGGCTGGGACTGTGTGTTCTTTACACACTTACAAGGCACCTACTACACATGGCATCCGTGCAGGTGTGAACACGCCATGGCCTGCCTCCAGAGATTCTGTGCACAGGGGAAGGCACTGCTTTCATCTATCTGCACAGCAAGTAAAAGTGCCTTCTCTGTGTGGGGTCCAGGGCCAGTCTTCCTGTTAGGGGCACACCCCACAGGGGCTCTGCAGAGCACCCGGGCCAACCTGCCTGGACAGGCCCACCTGCACCTGAGGACACAAGTGCCGTAAGGGCCAAATGCTCACCTGCCCGGCTGCTCAGGGTATTTATGTTTACAGTAGGCCTCCAGGGATGCATAGACCTTCTCCCTCAGCGCCTCCACTTCGGCTGGGTTTGAGAGCCCCTTGGAGTCTGTGAGGGAAGGAGTACAGGGCAGCGGTCAGAGCCCCAAACCGGCACCAAGGACACAGGTGGCTCCAATTGTCTCATTGGCTGCCCACAGAAGGCAGGGAACCTGCTGCTGGGCCCTGAAAACTTTGGTGTTGGGAGGAGTGGCACCCACAGGAAGCTGCTCCAGTGACTTTGGGCCGCCCTTGACCTCTAGAGGCTCAGTTTTCCCATCTGAGAGATGCAACGAGGCTGGTTACCATGGCAACTGGGAGCCAGTACCAGTGCTTGTGGCTGCACTCAGGTCAGATTGAGGAAGCCTGCCCCCTCCCAGAGACCCCCAGATTGTGTGGGGGCTAAGGGGCCCTAGAACCACCCCAGAGTCCTCCAAGAAGTAGGACAGACACCCCTGGGAGGTGGGCCACCCAAACCACCAGGGTCCATGGTGGGCTGAGGAGCAAGGGCACTTCCTGAAGTCACCTCAGTTAACAGCCATGGGGACCTTCTGCAGTGGTGAGAACCCCTGGTCAGGAGGCACACCTTTTCAGGAGCTCACAGGAAGCTCGAGCGTCCCCTCCCTGCCCCCTTGCTGGGCCCACCCTCCCCAGTTGACCCCAGCTACCCATGCCTCCCCTGGGACCACCCCTGCTGACCCTCCCCATACTAGGCTGAAGCCGCACCCAGCCACCAGAGTGTCTGGGATCCATCAAGCCAGCACAATGCACCCCTGCTCCCCTCCTCCCTACACAGCCGGCCACCCAGCCCACTGACACTCACCCTGACCTTGGGTACATGAGGGGAGAGACACTGTAGCCCATGGGGCCCCAGCTACAGGGTTGAATGAAGTTCCCACTGGGCCCTCCCCTCCGTGGGAACTCTGCTCCCTGCAGGCTCTGGACTCCCCTGGCCCTGGCCGGTCCTCCCTGTTCCCAGAGGGCAACGCTGGGGCCAAGCCACTGGGGAAGCACTTGAACAAATGGGGATTCCGAGGGAGAGCCGAGGACATGACTCAGCCTCAAGTGCTGACAGGAGTCCGTGCAGGAGTGAGCCACAAACCTGGGCGATGAAATGTCCCTAGAAATGCACTCTCCCCCCACCCCACGGCTCCTCAGGGGTGGGGTGCCAGAAGGGCAAGGAGGGCAGGATATCAGAGTATGGGGACTCCACCTCTGTGCCACTCTCACTGCACTAGTCCCTGCCAGAGCCAACCCCCAACCCACCCCTGCAGTCTGCTCCCCACAACCTCGTCCCAAGGACAGACTCATATCCATCTCCTCTGAACCACCTCAGAGATTTTCAAATTCAGAAACCCAAGCAGCCGCCCCTTCAGAGCCTCCTTCCTGCCCCAGGGCCCCAGGAGAGTGCCTAGCCCACAGGCAGTGCCCCTCCATGCACTCCCACTTTGCCTGGCTCCCATCTATCTTTCTTTTTTTCCATTCCCTTACTAGATTTCCAAAGGCTGAAGGAGTTTTTTAGTGCCCCAGAAGTTGGCCAAGGAGAGTTGCCAGTCTTTTAAATCATTCTGAACTCAGACTTAAACCTACTGGAAGTGTTTCAAGCAACTGCAATGATTATCCATGATTATCCTTATTGATATTAAAATAGCCTCAACTTGGGGCCAGGGGCCACCTCTTATCTTTGACCTTCTACACCCCTACCCCGACTCTGCTCTAAATGCCACTTCACCAGGGAGCACTTGCCAGCACCCCAGGAGCCCTGCTGCCCTGCACTTCTCTGCCCAGGCAGCTGTCACTCCCAGGTGCACTTCCCACTATATACACCATCCAGGGCAGGCCCATGTCCGTGCCAATGGACCATGTCTGGCATGGTGCCCAGCTCAGGGAAGGGGAACACACCCTAAAGGCCAGGGGGCCCTCCTGGCCCAGCTCTGGTCACAGACCAAAGGGCCTCATCCCAGAAAGGGAAGGGAGGGATTCTGAGAAGGGCCCTACCCTGCCTGGCTGCCTAGGGGCCACGGGGACATCTGCCTGGACCACGGGGTCCCAGAACCTCAGCACAGTCCCATCTCAAGTTGAGATTTCTGGTGCAAAATAATGGCACTTTGGATGGCAGAGGCCAGAGGGTTCACAGTGGACCCCCTTTGGAGATGCTAATGACAAGGGGGTTCCTGGGCCAGACCCCATGCAGAACTGCCAACGCTCCACTTGAACCATCTCGCTGAGCCCCACAGGAGCGTCCTCATGACGCAGACGCAGTGGCTCTGCCCATTTAAAGAGGGCACTGAGGCTCAGAGGGCCCCACACTGGACATGGGGGCCGGGAGGAGGGCTGAGGGGGTGCAGGAGGAGGGATGTGGAAGCAGGGCCCGAAGCAGGGCGGTGGTAGGAGTGGGAGGAGGAGGGCGGGGCAGTCCCCCCTCCCTGAAGAGGGCAGGGCCAGGAGGCATAACCATGAGAGTGGGCATACCTGGGTTGAAAAGGACAATGGCGCGCAGGCAGCCCAGCTCTGTCTTGTCCATCTGCATGTCCCTCATCTTGGACACGAGCTCAGTCAGCACCCTGCAGGAGGCAGATACCCAATCAGTGAGCCCACACGCTCGCCATGGTCCCTGGAAACACTCGGAGGACCTGGGGGCAGCTATAGAGGACAAAGCCAACAGAAGAGCCTGCCCAGAAAGACTCAGAGGGAGGAAGACACACGAGCCCACTTATAGGCATCAGTGGGTTCACTGTCCAGGCCCTGCATGGGTGGGCTTCCTCTTACTCCTGAATCTTTGCAGGCAGGAACTGGGGGCCAGCGAGGGCCTCAGGGCAGCTGAGCAGAGGAGGGCTGGGGTTGAACAGTGGAGCCAGCCCACTGCCACAGGCCCCCTGCCTGCACTCAGTTGAAGAGCCAGCATCTCTGCTCCTGCTCACTTCTCTGCAGGAAAGCCCTTTCCCAAGGACACAGCCTTCCTGGTAGAGGGGTGGTTTACCATGTCTTGTCACCAGCCACTGATTTCCAACAAAGAACACCACCCAGCCTCCTCAGAGAGCTGGGGACCCCTCTGCCCCTAGTCCCTGTAATCCCCCCATTGGCCTATCCATAACACCCTACACTGAGCTGGGGCCCCCAACCTTGGCAGCCTGCCCACTGACCTCTGACACATGACTATCATGTCAGGAAACAGCAACTGGCTAGTGAGACCAGACTGCAGGAAAGGACACACCTCAGAGAGTCCCTGGGTTTGTGGGTAGGTAAGGGCAGGGTTGCATCTGGGAGAAGACATGTTGGGGGTCATATGCCCTGTGGCCTTAGGGCAGACACGGGAGAGCCACCGGCCAGGCCTGGGAGTGCTGCAGGAAGGCAATGAGAGCCGGAAGCCCACCACCCCAGGGGTGAGCTAGGGCTGGGGACCCAACCTATGCCTCTACCCCATCACCTCACACACACCAGACAACAAACCCATCCACCTGTGTGCAGCTGTGTTTCCCACAGTGAGGTCCCCAGGGAGACAGCCTCAGTGGGTCATGAGCACTGCACTCTGCAGCTATCATCACTGCCACCCCAACACACTTGTTAAAGGCCCCAAGAAGCCCTGTGGCAAGGACACTGTGTGTCATTTAAAACTGCGTTTTCCTACCATTTGTGACCAAAATGCCCTTTGGCACTTGGCACCAGGGCCACTCAGGACTTCCCCGGGGCTGGCTCATGGGTCCCCTCCAAACTATCCGAGGGGGAACGCAGTCTATATGCTTCTTCCCCCATGGGTGATGGGGTCACCTGCAGCCCCCACCTTTAAGCTTTAGGGCTCTCATATTCAGGAGACTCACTTAGGACCCCTGTGCCTCCTCCAACTCCCCCCCTTACCCCGAGTCCGCTCCTCCTTCCCCAACAGCCCCTCCCCCACCACCCACTCCTCTCCTCCAGTTTCTCTCCACCCACTCACTCTTCCCCATCAGGGATCCAGCAACGCCCCTCCCCAGCCCTACCTGCTGACATCAAAGCACCCAGGATGCCCAGGCTGTGAGGGCCTGCTGCTCCCAGACAAGGGAGGGTGGAGGCCTGGCATTCTAGAGAGCACCTTCCTGGAGACAGAGGGACCCCGGAGTCTATGCACCTGCCAGAAGCATCCTGCCCTCTGGGTGAGAGGTGCAGAGGTGCAGGTGTGCAGGGCTGGGGCACACTTGGGCCCACTGCAGCAGGGCATAGGCTTAAGGCAAAGCCCTGCTATGCCCACCAGGGACTGTGAAGGAATTACAGACAAGGAGGCATCAAAACAGAAATGGTCATAGGCATTACCTACAAAGAAACAACTTGTTTTTAAAAAGTATGTGTTTCTTCTCTGTGGATAAACAGGATTTAAAAAAAAAAAAAAAAAAAAATCTGGAAGCAACTAAACCAGAACGTTAAACTGGTTAACTGGTCACAGATTCTTCCCAGACATTAGATTAGAAAAGCATCACCACCCCATCTCCCACCACACGTCTCTGTGCCCACACATTCCCCAGGAAGAGCATCGAGATCCCTGCACCAAGCACACACCGCCTGCTGAAATGTGGACCCACCTGTCGAAGATGGCACCCACGCCTGCACTGTGGGCGCTGTTGCGATGGACGTGCAGGCCAGTGGCAAGTAGAATGCCATCCTTCACGGCGATGGAGCGGTGGGAGAAGGAAGCGATGAGCAGCTCGTTCCAGCCTGGGGGACAGGGTACTGTCTGTCTCAGGGCTACCACACCCTGAGACCCTGCCTGGCCCCCATGCAACATGAGCACTGGGGGCCCATGCCTGCCAGACAGGTTCCCAAAGCGGGCTGGGAGGAACACCACCAGCCTCCTCATGGACAACTCTTTTCCCACCTGCTGCTGGATGTTTCCAGAGAACCTCAGGGTTACTTAGGCCGGCAATATTAGAGATTCTGAACCTGAGGCTTTGGAGGGCAGTTGTTGTTGTTGTTGTTATGTGCCATCGAGTCGGCCCAGACTCATAGCGACCCCTCCTTGGGTTTCCGAGGCAGTATCACTACGGAAGTAGGATTGCCCAACCTTCCTTCCGAGGAGTGGCTGGTGGGTTGAACCACCAGCCTTCTGGTTAGCAGTCAAGTGCTTTTGCCACTATGCTACCAGAGCTCCTGTTAGGAACCCCAAAATTGAGATGGAGCCAGTAGACATACACCTTTCTGGGCAGAGTATCTGGCACATTCTGAGAGAAGTCAGTGCCCACAGTTACACGAGGTCATGTTCCTCTCTCTCCAAGGGGACAGGTGCCACCGGACACCTGGAAAGCAGTGGTCAGCACTCGCCCTCCCCACACAGCCTGGTGGGATTGCCTCTGGGGCAGGAGGCAGTTCTGTGTCCCAACCCTATGCCCCAACAGCTCCAAGTGGCAGAAGACAGGAGCAACCCAAGATACGCACCCACCATCCTTCTCATGGCAGCCCAGGTCCTGCAACACAGCCACTCACCAGCCCGCAGTAGGATGACCTGGTCGTCCAAGGGCAGCTCTGAGAAATGTGGGACCCGCTTGGCCCACTCCACCAGGGTGAAGAGCTGCTTGTCTGCTGCCTGGCAAATGTTGGTGACGGGGTCATTGGGCTATGTGGAGAGAGAGTGCTGTGGTCAGGACCACACACTGCCACATTTATAGGTGCCCAGGCCAGCCCCACCCCATTACTTCACCCACATAGGGGCTAAATAGAAGCAGCCCCTAGAGATGCCACATCCTGACCCTGAATCTGTGACGGCGTCACTGCACAGTCAACAAGGACTTTGCAGATGAGACTAAGGACTCCTGAGATGGAGTATCCTGGATTGCTCAGGTGGATCCACCTGTGATGCAGGCCCTTTTAAGATGGGGAGGAACAGAGGCAGAGAGAAGAGGAGGACGGGGCAGAGGTCAGAGACGAGAAAATGCTGCACTGCTGGCCTTGAAAGTGGAAGAGGGGCCCTGAGCCCAGGAGTGCAGACAGCCTCTCAGAGGTAGCAAAAGGTCAGGGCATAGATTCTCCTCTGGAGCCTCCAACATTTGATTCTAGCCCAGTGACGTGGATTCCTCACTTGACTCCAGACTCTGGGATAAAGCATGTGTGCTGTTTCAAATGCTAGATCTGTGGTCATCTCTTATACCAGCAACAGGATCTGACATGACCCATGTCATCCTTATAACAGCCCTAAAGGCGAGGTCCCAGGGACCCCATGTATAGAGAAGGAGGCCAGGACATAGGAAGTAGATGGGCCAGGCTTCATAAAACCTCCATCATGTGGCCCACCAGGCAAGGCACACCTCATGTGTCCTCTGTATTTAACAGAGGAGGAACCAAGAGCTCAGGGAAGGCAAGTAACAGCTGAGTCACAGGACCTTAAGAGCAGGGAGAAACTTGGTGGCATCAGAGGCCCTTCTAGAATGTTCTAGAGAGGAGATATCTAGTTATTCTCATGGACAAGGGAGCCCAGGCAGGCCTCAAGGGCAAGGCCAGGATGGGAGCCTGATCTTTAGCTCCCAGCCAGAGAGACTGGGGTTACCAGGCTGCAGGGCCAACACCCAGGAGCCAGAATGGGGAATCCCTCACTCCAGAGAACACAGGGCAGCCTGTCAAGGGAAAAACGCCTCCTTCCTCAAGGCTTCCAGTGACAGGAATCATCTGCTCGATGGCGGACATGCAGTCTAAACACTACCAAGCCTGCTTAAAGGGCTACACAGGGCTCCGGGGGTGGTTGGTGACAAACGGGGTGCCGGGCTGCTGCCAGAGCTGGATAGGGAGGGACTGGACAGGGGAAGGGCTCATAGAGAGGGACTGACTGACAGAGGAGAGAATGACAGGGTGGGCTGAGGGGGCAGAGGGGATCTGGAGCAAGGATTCAGCCCACAGGACAGCCCCTAGAGTGGGCAGAGCACAGGTTGGGGGTGGCCCAGAGGAGGGTTGTCCAGGGCAAGCAGGGTGTTAGACTCCTATCACTCAGCAGCCAGGCTGAGGGCTCCCTGGTGGGGAAGGGCTGTACAGCCCCAGAAAGGACCTCACACCTCTAGGCCTCCCAGGACAGTAGGCATATACTGAGCCCTAAGCTTGTGCCAGGGGTATGGATGAGTGAAGTGACACTTTCCTCAAAGGCAACAACACCAGAGGAATGTAGGTGAGTGGACTGACACCAGCTCCCAGGGGTGACAATGCAAGGGGAGAGTACATAAGTGGACCGCCTCCCGGGGGTGTTAGCAGGATCCAGAGCTCAAGGGACGCCACCATGGCAAACATGATGCTGGGGGTGTCACCCCTCCCCGACTCAGTTTGCCCATCAGGGAGGAGCCTAGTTAGCCCTTCCCCAAAGGAAGATCCTAGCTGATTCACAAGGAGGGTTCGGCTAGGGTCAGAAATGCAACAAGCCCCAGAAGGAGCTCTGAGTTCAGGGTCTGCCTTCAGGATGGCCTAGACTCAGAGCAGCCTGAGGACTTGAGTTCTGGACCTGCCCCTCCTCCTCTGATGGGAAGGGCCAGCACATGTCCCCAAACAGGGTTCTTACTCAGCAAAGGAGAGCCCCCTGGGCTCCCAATCTTCCTTGGAGCATCTGCTGGCCCAGAAGGGCCTCAGAGTGGCACCCAGGCCCACATCCTCAGGCCTACTGGGATACACAGACCTGGCCAGGGTCAAAGCTGGAGGTGGTACTCTGGTCACCAACTGGTAGGGAGGGGTCATTCTTCGACCAGAGGGTGGCCCTCCCAGAAAGAGTGGTGCCTGGCTACAGAGCCCACGTGCGTCCTCTCCAGTGGTCTGTCCTGGCCCATGATCAGAGGGAATCTGAGAGGAGCCACACTCTTGGGGGTACCAGTGGCCCCCGTGGGCTCCTGGGGGCAGGATGGCAGGGATGAGGACTATGGGGATTCCTGGTGGTGGGGCAGTGGGGCTGAGGACCACAGTGACCCCTGGGGACATGGCGGGGTCAGGGTACTGGGTCCCAAAGTGACAGCAGGGACCAGCTGCCATCCCAGGCTTCACTGGGGAGGAGCATTTAAAAACCCACCCCTCACCCTGCAATCACCATGTACTGAGGGCCATGGGGGCGGGGAACCCAGGAGCTCTAAGCCCAGAGCAGGGCCAGGCCACCTGGCAGAAGCTCAAAACACAGGGGGAACCCAGGAACCTGAGCCCACAGAGCAGGGCCAAGCTGCCTGGCAGGAATGCAGGCACAAGGAGGTTCCCTGAGGAGTTCCATGAGCTGAACCCCCACGCTCCAGGTACAGGCCCTAGAGGAGTGGCAGTGCCTATCCCAGGGTGACAGGAGAGAGCTGAGTGACTCAGGGTCAGCCAGGTCTGTGACGGTTAGAGCACTGGACACAATCCTGAACCACACTGAGGCAGCAAAGACTTGAGAAAACCTGACCACACCTTGAGGCAGAGCAGGACTGCCAAACCGAAGGGAACAGGAGCTACGGGGATAAACGCAGACATCAAATGTCACCCACTCAGCTGGAGATAGCCTGGTCCTTGGACTCACAGCAAAGGCCTGAAGGCCTGCCCCAGGAGAGCTCCCCAGGGCCCAAGGCCCCCAGAGCCCAAGGCCCACCAGGTCCCTGCTGCCCTGTGGCAAGAGGGCTCAGATAGCACAGGCAGAAGCCATAGGGCAGTCAGGTTCTCAGACAGATACCAGAAGGGGAACAGGATGAAGGAGACTACTGCAGGGCCATGGCCCTGTGAGGGCCAGGGAGCAGCTGGGAGAGGCCCACCCACCCACTGCCTTGAGGCTGCTCGGGACAGGGGAGGCAAGGCAGTCTGAGAGGGCAGAGGCCCAACCAAGGAGGCCGTTCCAAGGCCACCTCCCACATCCCCATGAAAAGAGGCTGGTGCTGAGGCAGGCAGTATGAGATGACCACTGGGCAGGCATGGTGCTGGCACCTGCTCTTATGTCTCATCACGCTGCCCGTCAGGAGCTCCTTCTAGGCTGGGCGCTCATTCATAGGGGACTTGGGCCACAGGGTGAGGGGCCAGGGCTGCATGACAGCAGTGTGTGACCCAGCAGACCCCTACCTGCCCTCCCCAGAGGGCTGCCCAGTCTGCTCAGAGCAGGGTCCCACTGGGCTGTGGTGGTGGTCAGTGAACACAGGGCCCAGGTACCATAGAGGGACCGAGAGGGAGGTAGAGGCTGCAGGGCAGGAGCTGGGCCCTTCGAGGACTGACTGAGCTGCCTGGACATGGCCAGGCCAAGGAGAAGGCCCTGCTTCAGGAGAACACAGCAAAGGGGGGTGGTGACAAGTGGGCGGCAGGCACTCACCGAGCTAGGGTTCAGCCCCATATTCGCCTCCACATATGTCTCTGTCTTGGGCTCCACGGCCACCTCGGCCTCTAGGATCTTCTCCACAGGCATGTCCTCGTTGGCACTGCTGGTAGACTCTACCTCGTTCTCATTTCGGTCCTTGCCCCGCTGCCGTTCCTCCTGCACAGCTGTGAACACACAGGGGAATCAGCCTGTACCCAACACTAGTGCCCATCCAGCCAGTAATGCCAGCTCTGAGCCGCACAGGGCTGCCAGACCCCATCTCCTCTCTCCCCTATCCCTAAAGAACCCCAAGCCCTCCCATCCACTCTGGCTTAATTCATTCCATCAGTACTCATGCCAGGGACCCCTAGGCCAGGCAGAGGCTGGGAGAGATGGCCCAGCTCTCAAGGAACCCAAGGTTCAGCAGAATTCCCAGCAGAGTGAGAAGGGCTTTAATGGGGTATAGAGTCAGGGAAAGCCAAGGAAGACTTCCTGGAAGAAGTGGCACTGAGACTGAAGGATGAGGCCAATCATCCAAGCAGAGGAATCAGCCTGTGCAAAGGCCCAGAGCCAGAGCAGAGCACACTCCTTATCAAGACCAGCTAGTGCAGAGGGCACAATGCAGGAGGCAGGGCAGGGACAGGGCTTCCATGATGGTCTGACAGAAACAGGATAGGAGAGTGTGATGCAGGGGAGGGACAGGATTGGACCATTGTCTCAGAAAGTCACTCCCAGCTGCAGGGAGGGGGCTGTGAGGAGACCACAGATGGAATATCCAACCTGACATGAGTCAGGTGGTGGCCGGGACAGCCTTGAGGCTAGCTGGAAGGAGCAGGGACAGGGGCACAGAGGACTGGCTGGGGTGTGGCATGGTCTCTGGGACCCCAGGAAGAAAGGCCAGTATAGAGCAAGCATGGAGGAAGAGTTCCTTTCAACACTGACCCCTAGGAGTCCCATGCAGGAGGAAAGGCCTATGGAGGCTACGGCACTTCTGACGGGTGTTTCCAGACCTGACTTCCCAGCCCATGCAGCCCAGGCCCCCTTTTCCCTGGAGGGAGTCCCCCAGCAGGCCTGACAGTGCTGGTGTATAAAGCTGGGCTACAGACCCCCACCCAGAGCTCTCACGAGCCCTTGAGTGCAGGGCCCGGGGCCTCCTGGGCTGACCCCATCCTCTGTTCTCTGGGGGATGGAGCAGGCGGAGGGGTGGGTGGCATCCCCATCCAGCCCACTCTGCCCTCCCCCTGAGTTGTAGCAGTCACAACCATGGTAAATCCACCCAGGAAATCTCCCAGGGTCCAGGCTGAGCACAGAGAGCAGTTACTACGATATCTCAGGAAGCAGGATCTGCAGCCCCACTCACGGGGTTTGGGTTAGCTGATGCCGACAGCAGCAGAGCTTTGGCCCACTGCCCAGGCTCCGGCCAGCTCTGGATAGAGGGCTCAAGGAAGTGATCTAAAGCCAAAGCCCCGTTCCCCTTGCAGACACCATAGGTGGGCCAGAGACTGGGGGTCTACCCTCCTTCCACCCACATGAACCCTCCCTAGCCCACATGAACTTCCCTCTCCCACCCTACCCAATGTCTGACCTGTCCCAGAGCTCCATCCAGACCAGCTCCCAACCTCTGAACCCCTAGATTGTGGACCCCAGCCCACCACCCTCCCCTGCATACTCCATCTTCCATATCCCTGGCTCCCCAGCACCTGACAGCTCCAATCAGTGAGACCTGCCCCTGCCAGTCAACACATCCTCCTCCCAAGACACCACCCTGGGCCATGATTCCTCCACTAGGCACCCCAAGCACTTGGGACTACTCTCAACCTGCCTGGGGCATCCACAGCAGAGGCCGAGGGCCAGGCTGCAGTGTGGGCTACCTTGGACAAAACTGGCCACTCAGCCTAAGGGCAGAGCCCCTGAGGCACATCCTTTTCCTCACAGATCCTGACCCGCGTGGGCAATGGCTGTGAACGGGCTGCCCCAATGCCACCACCTCGTCCCTCTACTGCTTCACTGATACCACCCAACAGCTCGGGGGGAAGGTGCTTTCATCACCCCCATTTACAAATGAAGAAACTGAGGCTCAGAGAGGTAAAGGGACAACAGAGCAGGGAAGAAACTGCGTCCCAGGGGCCCTGAAGCACACTCAGCATCCACATAGCATGTGTCCCCTTGGTGAGGGTTCTGAGCTCACTCCCCAAAACCCCCTGCTTCGGAAACCACTAGGACTCTCCAACAATCACGGGACCCTGACCCATCCTCCTGCTTCCTGCTCTGTCAGCCTGCCGAAGCTTGATCCCCAACACACGCCCCTCCTCCTTTCTGGTCTTAGCACTGAGCACTGGACAAAGCTGCCCATGCTCCCTGATCTCTCTGGACCTCAGACTGGGTTCATCCCTCCCCACCTAGGACCTCACTACCAACAGAGGACACAAACCAAGCAGCATTCACTGTCCACCCCGAGGAACCCTCAGCCCTGCCCTTGGCCTGAGTTCTGGGCAGTCCCACTGACCCCTTCTTCCTCCTTGCCCCTCACCCCCCAGAGCAGCCTTACCAGCCCACTGTCCTTTGCCCACTGTCCCCCCATCCTCCTCAGTCATTTTGCCCTCCTCACCAGACCCCTCACTCTCCTAGCCTATCAGGCCCCTCACCCTCCAGGGTGACCTCATTCAGCCCCCTCACCTTCCAGCATAGCCTTACCACCCCCTCACCTTCTGGGTGGGACAGCCTCATCCAGACCCCTTGCCTTCTAGGGTGGCCTCAATGGCCCCCTCGCCTTCCAGGGAACCTCATCTACCCCCCTCGCCCTCACTGGTCCTCCTACCCTCTGGTTTCCTGGGGGTTTGGCAATGCAGGCCATGAGCAGGACAGATCCATGCCTCTGGCACCCTCCCTGCCCAGGCACTTCTTTTAGCAGCCACTTCCTCCTAAGGCCCCCTACCCTCTGGATCCCTTAACTGATATCGTAACCTGTCCTGCTGCCAACACCCCTCCACCATGCTCAGTGGCTTCCTGCCAAGCCTGCCCCACACAGTCACTCAGAGTCCCTGGAGCTGCTCTGTGCCCCAATCCAGGACTGCCAGGCTCCCCAAAAGCACCCAAATTGACAGGTGGGTGCTTAGAGCCGGCTCTGTGCAGGGCCATGCTCCACAAGTCCCATAGGATGAGCAGAGGAGGGAAGCTCCATCCATGTGGCGAGATTCAAGGGCAGGAGATGCACCAACCCTTCATACCGCACCAGCTGGGCTCAGGCGCCAAGCAGGAGGCCTTGAGTTGGCGATTTTGCAAGCCTGGGCCTTCTGGAAAATCTGACAGAAGATAGGGCTGGTCAGGAGCTGAGAGCAGGTGTGAGGAGTCTACAGGGCCTCAGAAGGCCAGGCCAGGCCAGCCCAGCCCAGCCCAGCCCAGCCCAGCCCAGCCCAGCCCAGCCCCTCCCAACCAGGCCTCCCAGACCCTCCTGTGGTAGCTGCTCAGTACAGCAGGACTAATGTCTCATGTCATTTTCCCAGTTTTCATCAGGGAGAACATGGCTGCAAGGCCCAGGATAGCCAACCCCATGACCTATGACCTGAGTGGCTCACAAGGACAAGAGCCCCCCACACACACATACACATGGGTAGCACCTGGGGTGATGTGGACCCGATGCAAGTGGGTCTGCATGCCTCAGACCCTGAGAGTGAGTCCCAGGTGAGAGGCTTAGCTCCTCATGCCACCAGATGGGGAAACTGAGGTGCAGAGAGCCAACAGGGCATGGCTACATTCTCAGCCCAGCAGAAACATGAAGCCACAGCCCCAAATCATGCAGCCCAGAGCCCCAAGGCCTGCTCTGCCCCAGGCAGCCATATGGGGTTCCCTAACTACCCTGGGCCTCAGTGTCTGAGTCTGTAGGATGAACCCATGCCAGGCCTTGGTGACCACAACTTTGTCACTCGGCCCAAGGGGATTTATACTACTCCAAAGACAGTCTCAGGGCACTGGAGCCCGGGCAAAGGTAGCCCCTGGCATGGGCGTAGTGGGGGTAGCGGGCAGTGATTGGGAGCTCCTTGCCACCGGCCTCCTCCAGGAGGTAGCTGGGAATTAATTAGTAAATGTTTTGCAAAGCACTTTGAAGCCATGAAGGGCCCGGCAGCCCTAAGCAGCATCATCATAAATATTATGGTTTTATTTATAGACGGTGGTGGGCCTTTGCCAGCTCAATCACCTTTGAGACGAGTCGTGTTGACTTATGTTGCGCTGGCGCCGGGGAGCCTCGAGTGGGAGGCGTCTGTAAATATAGCGCCTCGTTATCCTGTGCCTCCCAGCCCTGGGCATGGAGGCAGGAGGATGGCAGAGGAAGAACACAGAAGGGTGATGCTGGGTAGGCGGCTCACTGGATGGCTGGCAAGTCCCTGGTCAACCTCCCCCATGGAGGTCCACGAGACTGGGGAGCCAGACCCCAGCCCAGACAGATCACTCCCCCAGCTAGCCATTAGCCAAGCACGTGCCCAGGAGAGGAATGGTTCCCCCAAAGCAGATACAACCCAACATAACCAAGTCCTTGGCATCAGGAGACCCACTAGCATCAGATTCTGGGCACAGCAGCCCCTTGGCTGGAGTAGGGCATCTCCAACCCACTGCCACCCCATCTCCACCAAGCAGGACACCAGCAGGGGTAGGTAGAAAGCCCTGGGGGCATTCTCAGAAACTTCTCACTGGGTAGGCCCTTCTCCTCACCCTGTGCAGGCACTGCTGAGTAAGACCCAGGGATGAACCCACCCAGAGGGTCTGCCTGACTAGCTCCATTTCAGGATGAGGCAACTGAAACCCTGCCAATGTCACACAGTGAGTTTGGGTCCCTCCAGCTCCAAGGACATGTCCCTCCTTCTCTCAATGAAAGACATGCACCCACACATGGGAATGTTGAACACATGCACACTTGGGACTATGTAATCAGCCCACAATATGCGCCACACAGCACCACCACCTCCCGGGCTCTTCCTAGCAAGCCTGTGGGGACCTTGCTGATACCCTACTACACAGGTGAGAACACTGAGACTGATGGTGGCAAAGTCACTGCTCAGTGTCTCAGAGCCAGAAAGCACCAGGGCAGCCCTCAATCCAGACAAGGTCCCCTAGAGTGAAGTGTCTGGGGCCACAGACATAGGCCTGTGTGCACACACACATGCGCACGCACATGTATAAACACATAGGGACACACACACATGCACATGTGCACAGACATATGCACATACATACATACATGTACATAAACACAGACACACACGTGTGTGTGCACATGCACCCATGCACATGTATATGAACACATGGGCATATAAACATGCACATGTGCATGCATACACATCACACACACATGCACACATGGACACATGCACATATATGCATGCACACAGGATACACATGTGCACATTAATGCACATGCACACACACTCATACACACAACAGACACTGCTGTTTCCTCACTGGCAGCCTCAAGAGCCAGGAAGCAGAAGGAGGCAGGAAGGAAATGGGGAGAGGCTGTCCTGGAGGAGGGGGATGGCGAGGAGCCAGGGTCACTATCACCCCAGCGAGGAAGCCAGTATCCCAGAGCAGGCTGGGAACCCCTGAAGGTAGGGTCATCTTCCCTGTCAAACTGGGAGTGCCTACAGTCCTCCACAGCCACCCAGGTACCCCAGTGAACAGGCCTCAGCCTGGTGAAGGGCCTGGGCCCAACGTGGCATTCCCCATCCTCAGCCCCCACCCCTTGCCATGCCCCCCGGAATGCTGCGGAACAAGTCCAGGGTGGTGGCTTGTGTGCACAGGCCTGCTATTGCCCAACAAGAGATGCTATCGGTCTGCAGCAGTTCTCATCAGCCACTGCATCAGAGGTGGGGTGGAGATCTGCCCACCCTAAGCCAGACCTGTCAGCCCCAAGCCAGGGCAGACCTCTCCTGGGCAGTGCTGCCCCATGGATCTCCAGGCCCTCCCTGCAGTCAGCCCTCCCCTATCAGTCCACCCTGCACTGCACTGGGCCATGGTGGCCCTGGCAAGCCTCAGTTTCCTCATCTGTAACAGGGTATAGTCACCGGCCTCTGGGGGATCCTGTGGCATCAAGGTCAGTCCAGCTACCCTGGCCACCTCAAAATAGTCAGCCCAGGATGCAGAAAGGACTTGCTTTGTAGGGGGCTATGGGCCCCTACTACCCAGCTGCAGGCCTCCCAGCCCATGCCCTGTATTTTGGCAGCACCGAGGCATCACGTGGCTGCAGGCCACAGGCAATGCACAGGCTGTACTGTGGAGCCGCCACTGTGGTGATCGGAGGGGAGACACTCCCACCCTCACAGGACAGCCACTAGAAACAGAGTCCACTTGGCACACAGGCTCACCCATACCTGGCCACCCACAGTGGCTCTAGGGGCCACTGAGTCTCCCCCAGTCCCGCTGGGGAGGCACAGTTTTATGGCTGTGTTTAGGGTGTGAGAAGGCTTCATGGGGGGCATTTTACTGCACATTCAGGAGTTATAAATGCAGCTGAGACAAAGGGCAGGATCCTTGCTGGACCAGATATTTATTTAATGGCCCATAACTCAGGCCTCACTGCCCGAACCACCAGGGAACAGCCTGAACACCAAGGGTGCCTGTGGACACGGAGTGAAGGCAAGGTGTTGGCATGGGGGCCGTACAGGGCTGGGAGCAGCCAGTAGGGTGCTGGCTGGAGGCCTGCTCAGGTCACCCACTGCTCTGGACCACGTATCTCAGTCTGTGAGAGTGGCAGCAGTGGCAGGGTGAGCAGGAGAGCATGGTGGTCCAGTGGGGGCTATACCTGGCACTCACTCATACCGACAGCTGTGGTGACAAGACCCAGGGGCACAGAGCAGGACTGGACCAAAGGCTTCTGGGCATCCCAGCCTTGAGGGCTACAGTCCCTTGGGTAGGACAAAGCACTAGACACGAGCCCCTAGACGCTGAAGGGCTAAGAAGTACCATCCCCCTTCAGTGTGGACACCTCAGGCCCATACACAGGCTGCTCCCTATGGCCGAAGCCTCTGCCTGACACCCCACTCATGAAATGTCAGCCAGACACCCCTCTCCCTGCCTACGCCTTGCTAATGCTCCACACCATGGAGTCCATGGGGGACTATGAGGGCCTGTGCTTCAAGGAGGGTCTGCCTCCTCCCTGCACACTTGAGCTCTGCGCCTTTGCTGGGTCCCTCCTCCACACCTGGGGCACGTATGAGATTGTAGCCTGCCTCAAACATGCCCTGCCCAGCCAGCCCTCCCTGACCAAGGGGTGCCTGATGAGCTGGTGATAGGCATACTCCTCCCTGGGTGAGCACCCCCTCAGCTCTCTCACTACTGTAAAGGGTCAAAGCCCAGCCATGTGACCCTAGACAAGCCCCACCCCCCAGGGCCTCTGTTTCTCTACCTGCACAGCATAGGGCAGGCCAGAGGAGCTCTCAGCACCCCACAATTCCAATGTCGCAGCGAGAAAGGCCAAGCCCAGCCCACCCAGGCCTGCACAGCTGGACCCACAGGCTGTCAGCCGCCTTCCTGCAGCCCCTCCAAGCTCCACTGGCTGCAGCCCTGATGCAGTCAGGCCAGGGGCCAAAGGGACGAAGAGACTTGGGCCACCATGAGGCTGCCGCTCAGTGTGGGTGTCAGCTCGTGGTGTGTTAGGGTGGAGAAGCCCTTGGGGCAGGAGATCAGGCTGCACATGGCCTATAGGAGGCTGGTGGGGAAGGAGGTGAGACAAGCCACCCACATGTGGGACACAGGAGAGTCACGTGAAAAAGGAGTTGACACTCCAGTAACGGGGGACAGACCATCTGAACGCTGACCCCTGAAGCACCTTCCGATCCCATAAGGCCAAGGCCCTGAGCTTAGGCTGGATGAACCATGGGCCAACCATGCCCACCCTGTGCCCATGCCCATCCACCAAAGTGTGGATACAAAGCACTCACAAGAGTCCATTCAAAGCACAGTGCTGCCAAACCTGACCGTGAACCAGAACACAGGCAGTCCCCTGGGTTATGAACACCTGACATACTTGCCCCTTAATGTGATGTAAACTTGCCTTCACTCAAACGATTAAGCCAACCCCTACTCACAGCAAAAATAGTCTTCATCACAATCACTCTCACTTGCTCCATGTTTTAAACTGAGCCCTTTCTTACACTAAAACCCATTGCTAAGAAGTCGATTTTGGCTAACTGCCCCATAGGGTTTCCAACCATTGGGTGTCTAAGGCTGTCAATCTTGACGGAAGCAAAGCCCAAACCAAACCCACTGCCATCGAGTCAACTCACAGCGCCCCGAGAGGACAGAGTAGAACTGCCCCATAGTTTCCAAGGCTATAAATCTTTATGGAAGCAGACTTCCTCATCTTTCCTCCCAAGAAGGGGCAAGTGGGTTCAAACCACCAACCTTTTTGTTAGCAGCCCAATGCTTTAACCACAGCACCATAAGAGCTCTTACACTAAAATAAAGCTAAATGAGAACCATATGCACCTATTCCAACTCACCTACCAATTCAACCTAAAGACTTAAAGGCACACTTAGGAATGGATCTCATTCGTAACCTGTTCCAGATCTGACTGTACCAGAGGGGGAAACAGGTACAGGGGCAGCAAGGGGCTGGGAGGCAGCCTGGGACCCAGGTCTGGCCAGAACTTGATCATTTCAGTGACCTCACAGGTCTGTCTGCCATGCTGCCCACCTCCCCATGTTGCCTTGAGAACTTCTGTAAGTAAAAACAGGCTCAAAAATCAGGCAAAGTGGTCCAGGGTTCTGGTCATCCTGGTGAAGGTTAAGTGCCGCTGCCCAGAGGGTGGGAACGGCGACACGGCCCAGACAATCTGGTGTCCAACAGAACCTGGGAGATGTCTGGATGGTCTATGATCTGCTACATGGTCCCCCTAGCACCATCCCCAAAAGGGTCTCCTCAGCCACTCTGCTAGACAGCCAGAACATCCACGAAGACATGGGGTACTGCACTCCTAGTGCAGCCACAGCCGAGCCTCATCTCCTCACACAATGGCACACTGCGCTTCTGCCTGGGAAGCTCCTCCCCCCACCCTGGAGTCCACTGCTGACGTCACCTGGCCCAAGTTGGCTTTGTCCCTCCAGAACCCCAGGTCTGGGCATTTAGCAGGTTCTCAGTGAAGACTGGTGATGGAGAGCCAAGTGAGAGAGGTACTAGTGCTGAGCCAGGTCACAGACAGACCCTAGGAGGCCCCCTGCTCCATTAGAGAAAAGCAGGGGGCCATGACAGAAGGCAGCAGTTGGTCGCCCCTCACTTGGGCTCCACAGAGCAAGAAGCATAAGGCCCTCGGGTGGTGGTGGGGGGAGATACCCTGGAGGTCACAGCACACACATACACACACACACACCCATGGCCCTGGAGGTCACAGTGCTCCTGCACACAGCCCTGGGGATGCCCTGCAGGGCACAGCCCCCCTTGCACATGGTCAAGGGGCAGGGGTTCTGGTGGGCATACACCCTGGAATGTTGAGCAGGCAGCTTATCCCTGCCCAAAGAGGTGCAAACACATTGGCCAGCCATCACCAGAGGTCACAGGCAGAGTTGCCATGTGTAGAGGTAGACTCTGACCCACAGGCCTCCCACTGAGAACTCTAGAGAAGGTGGGGTACAAGGAGGTCCTGTGGGTGAGACCAGAAGAGCCCCTGCTGCATCTAGCCTGCGTGCTCCGCAGTCCCCAACCTAGGGCCCCTGCCTGTCTGCTACAGCTGACTATCCAGCCCCTACCCTCAGCCCTCTGCACCTCCACTGCCCCTACCGTGCCTCCACCTTCATTCCCATGACCAGCCTACCTTCACGCTTCATGCCCATGGCCAGGCACTTCTGGTAGCGGCAGTACTGGCAGCGGTTGCGCTGCCGCTTGTCAATCAAGCAGTCCTTGTTGTCGCGGCAGGTGTAGGTGAGGTCCTTGCGCACTGTCCGCTTGAAGAAGCCCTTGCAGCCCTCGCAGCTGTACACTCCGTAGTGCTTGCCTGCAGGTGGGCAGGTAGGTAGTGGGCAGGGAGCAGTCCCGTGCTGGGCCTCCCACCCATAGTCCCCAGGAAAGGCCTATCCCCTCCTCACAATCTCCTGTTCTCCCATAGCCAGCCTTGGGGTGGGGTGGGGGGGATGTAGGGAGGGGGCCCAGAACCAGGCTGGTGCCATTCCTCCCTCTCAAGGCTTCAGAGCTTGGTGCCCAATGCAAAGGGCCTACTCCCGAATGGCCCTGCTAACCCCTCTACCCCACCTCTGCCCACCTCTGGTCTCCTGCCACACAAACTGTGGATTAAAGGCCCTCAGGCTACCCGTCCACCCTCACTCTGTGGGCTGGACAGAGTGGCCTGGCCCAAGGGCTGAGTGGACCAGGCTCACCCTCCTCCACTCACTGCCATACCCCTGCCAGCAGCCTACCTGAAGAGCGGTCCCCACAGATGGCGCAGATGTGCTTAGTAAAGGATGCCATGTTTCCTGAAGGGTGAGCAGGGACCTTGAGGACGCCATTGAGACCCAGCGGGGGCTTGATGTCCTCAGTGCTGCTGACAAGGCTCATGGGCGAGTTCAGCTGCAGAGGGATGAAGGGTGGGGTGGTTGACGGGCACCGTGCCCAATGCCCACAACAGCCCTCTACCGAGGAGGGCACTCCCATGCCCCGGCTTTGCAGACAGAGAAACTGAGTCTGGGCCCACATAGCTGAGCGCCAGCTATATGCCTGGCCCCGACTTGCTCAGCCAGGCTCATGGAGGTTGCCCTGCCCTCAAAGCTCCATCCTCCCACATCAGGTCCCAGGCCTTCACAGAGGAGACCTCAAACCACCAAGGACCCTGCAGCACTGCCAAGGACCCCACAGTACTACCCTAAACATCAAGACATCCGCCAAGGATCCCACGGTACCATTCCCCCTGCAGGAAGGGCATCCTGAGAAGAACCTAAGAGAGAGCTGCCTCCCATCCCTAAGCACCCATTATGAGCCTACCCTGAGCGGGGTGCAGCCTCTGGGTAGGTAAGCTTGGAGAACTCCCCGCCACGAGGCAAGTACTGTTGGCATCCCCAGCCCTCAGGTAAGGATGCAGAGGCCCCTGTCACAGCCAGGAATGAGAAGAGCTGGGATCCCACCTCCAAGTGTGTGCACTTCCCACTCTGGGGACTCTTGACAGCATGACATGAGGGGAGGGGATCAGATGTCACTGGGTGCTGGTATGCTGTGGCCACCACCTGCACTCCACCCAACCAGACTACACAGGGCTCCAGCTGTGAGGAGGCGTGGGAACTCACCCAGTTGCCCCAGCAACAGCTGCCACAGTGACACAGCAGTTTTGGTCCCTGCCTCCGCTAAGTCTCCTGTCAGTGCAAAGGGCCCAGGCGCATCCCTGTACCCCTCCCACCAGTCTATGTCCCAGGCAGCAGGGCCCCAGGCTGGACAACCCCCACTTCTGGGAACCCCCAGCAAAGGAGGAACTCTACAGGCCTGCGGAAGTCTCTGGGGTGGGTGGCAATGGCACACTGCCCCTTCATAGCCCCCGGACCCTTCGGTCCCCTCTCCTCTTCCTTCCCTAGAGCCCCAACTCCCAGTCCCCTTTCTCATGGGACAGGAAGCATGTGGGCTTGGACCAAGCACAGCAGAAACCAAACCCCACTCCCAGCCTCATGCACACCAGCCTCAGTACCTAGAAGGACCAGCCTGGAAGCCCAGGGTATATGAGGCCGGGGGCTCAGCATGGCTGGGACTAGATGAAGCTGGGACCCCAGTATGGCATGGGGTGGATGGGGCTGGGGGACCTGGCATGGATGTGGAATCTATCTGGGCTGCCAGTGGCTGCAGGGAAGACTCAGCAATGTCAGAAGTTGGGGGGAGGTCTCCATTGCAAAAGTAGGGGCCCTCTTGGAATTCAAAATGCTCTTTGCATACCTTCTGGGTGTGGGAAGGGACTGGGAAGGGCAGATCCCAGAGTCCACTGTATGCCACATGTGCAGGGCCATGCATGCACTGGCTTGTCACTGCCTGGGGGTCCAGGGATGTTCTGCCTGCCCATTCCCAGATGTGGATGCTGAGGCAATGCTGCAAGCCTTGCCAGGGGTGAGGGTGGGGGTTGATCACCAAGCACAAGATCACCATGTTGCAGAAGAGGAAACTGAGGCTAGAGGAGGGGTGGGACCTGCCTAGAGCCACTCATGGAAGGAGGGATGCACACCCATTGGTCCTACCTTACTCACTGTCAACTAGGTGCTAGCTCAACTGGCCCCATGCCAGGCATCTGGAACAAGGCCTTCATCAGCTTGCCAAGCTGCCCCCTTGGCAGGATAGGGCAGTCATACACAGACAATCCTCAGGCCTCAGAGAAGGGACATAGGCCATGGCCACTTAACCCAGCTCAGCATCTCCATGGAAGATGCCTTGGCCACGGGTTCCACCTACCCCCACTGCATGACTCTAGGGGCCATCTAATCACTCTAATCCTGAGCTGCCCCCTCAGAGGACCCCCCCCAGGCCATGCTCCAAGAGCACACCTTGCACGGGCCCCAGCAATGCAGTCCACATATGCTCACAGAAAACGCTGCTGGGCAGCCTGCAAGGGCAATCAGGGCCGTCCCTGGCAGAGAGCCTCCCAGGCTAACGTCTGGAGGTGGGAAAAATGAGAGGATGGTCCAGAAAGGGGAAGGGGTCAAGTCACAGCAGGCAGGAACAGGAGCAGGAGGCTGACCCTAAATTCCTAACTTTCTGGGGCTGGGGCTGATGGTGCCCATTCTGGGGTCATAGCTGTAGTGAACCAAGTGATAGTGGGAGTCCAGGGGCCTGAGGCCCTCTCTGGGCAGCCCTTCCCCATGGCAGGGAGCCCAGGGGCTAAACTAGACTGGACCTGCTTAGCAAAACTTGCTCATTTCCTCTTTCTCAGGCTTCCCAAAACCACACTGGGTGGTAGAGCCCCTCAAGCACAGCCTTGGGTCTGGCACTTGCCCTAGGTAAACTGAGGCAGGGACGCAGCAGTGAGGTGGGTGGCCAATGGGCGCACCAGGGAAAATGCTTGGGCAGATGGAATGGAACAGTAATCCCTCCTCCCCAGAGTCAGTGCCAGGGCTGAGCCACTCCCAGTTGAGTGCAGGGTATCCCTGCCTTGATCCCGGCTGTGGTCAGTGATCCAGGTCCTTTCTCACTCAGGCTGGGGCCATCCACTTTGCTGCTCTGGGCACTGGAGGCCAGGGTGCCTGATGGGTGCAGTCCTGGCCCAGCTCTGCGGGGCACAGCAGATCACCCCAGAGCATTGTGACTGCACCCCCAGTTCCAAGCTAACCAGCCTGGGCCCAGGTCAAAGCTCCCAGTCCAGAGCTCATACCATGCACATGCTCCTCCTGCATGGGTTCCACAACCCCCTATCTGCCTGGGACTGCTCCCCTGGGCTCCCTGCCTTGTTTCCTAGGAGACATCATGGCATGGCCAGGGCAGGGGCCCCATCCATTTCCCCTTTCAGATCCTTGGCACTCATTTCAGTTCCCGCCACAGCCTGCGGGACTTACTAAAATAGCCACTGCTCCATCAATGCCCCACCCGGCCTCCTCAGCCCATCTCTGCTGCTCTCGTCCACACCCACCACGCCCTTCCTCTCTGAGCCCAAAGCACGTCCCCCACTGCCGGCATAGGACCAGTGTGACACCAGCCGGCTGAGGACTCCGCTGCCCTTGCTGGGAAGAACCTGGTATGCAGGCAATATCCAGGTGTCAGGACATGGCGGCCATGGCCCTGCAGTGGGGCCCAAGCCCTGGCAGGGTTCTCACCTAGAGGCTGCCCCTTCTCTAAGACTGTCCTATGGGGACTCGGTGAGGCCATGACACCACACCTCAGCATGCCAGTGTGCCTGGCACCACTCCTCAACCAATACCCACAATGGACACGTGTCAGGAGTGGCAGGGCTGGTCTGGGACACCAGGCCAGGGGAGAGACATTGAACAACTCAGGCTCCGGTCAGCAGTGGTCGGGCCTGGCTCTTCCTGGACCTTGTCGGGCTGTACGGGTGGGGGTGCACGAGCCTGCTGATGCCCATTTTCCCTCCCAGCTGTAGAGCAAGCAGGCAGCACTTGGCAGAAAGCCAGGCCCTCCCCATCGACAACAGAAGTCAGAGCCTCGCAGGTTCCGGCAACTCTGAGTTTGCGGTTGTGGTTTTGGGGGTGGGGGGCATATCCCCCCCTGAACTCCACCCACACTCCCATGAATATGAGGAACCCTGGGTTTCCAAGACAAACTGCTGAAGCCTAGAGGCTAGACTCAGCCCCCAGGGGAAGAGCTATGAAGGATAGAGGTAGAAGGCTGGGGGAACGTAAGGCCCATCTGAGAAGGGAGGCCAGAAACCAAACATGCCCAGACCATGGCAAAACCCCTGTGGGGCTGACAACAGACAGATGGACGGACAGACAGTGACATTGGGGCAAACTGAAAGTACCCCTCCCTCAGGCCCAGCTCCCCACCTCCAACTCACCTGGGGGCTGCCTGTGCTGAAGCCCAAGGTGGGCGCAGTAGGCACCGACATTGAGTGTGGGCCCATAGGTGAACTGATGACTGAGAAGGGTGGGCCCATGCCGTTGATGGGGGAACTCAGGGTACTGATGGGCGAGTGCAACTGGCTCGGAGAGCCAAGCGAGGAGCCGATGGTGGGCCCCAGGGGTGGGTGCAGTGAGGATGCAGCCATGGGCCCACGCCCCGTTGGAGAGTTGAGGGATGAGGAATTCACCTGGGTGGAGAAGTCTGCAAGACAAGAACCCACAAGATGGTGTCAGAATGGAAGCTACAGATCCATAACTCAAGCCCTCAGCCCCACTGTGTGGGCTAAAGATGGGAACACAGAGGCCATGGATCCATGATTCAGGCCTCTACCACACCCCACCAGCTACAGACAAGCACAGAGACCACGGATCAATGTCACGGCCTATACCTCTCCGTACAGACTATGGATAGATGCACAGAGGCCACAAATCCACATCATGGCCCTCACCCCATGCCATGGGCTACAGACAGGTACACAGAGGCCATAGATTCACAATACAGCCCTCACCCCCCACCACACACACACACGGGCTATAGATGAATGCACACAGAAGCCACAGATCCACAACACAGCCCTCATCCCTCCCCACAGACCACAAATGGACACACAGAGGCAGGAAGGCAAGAGATGGCCCTCTACCCCTCCCTGAAGGTCAGGAACAGACAGCCCCAGGACCCACCCCAATTCAGACCAACACAAGGCTGGGGGTGGGCGGTGCTGCAGCAGTAAGCTCCCTCCAAGGCATTACCTCCGCATGACCTGACTGGGGGCTCTGGCTGGGCCTGAGGCAGACGATGGAAAAGCCATCCTGCCAGCAGTCCCAAAGCCCCCCAACCCCATCAGTGGGCCCTAAGATGCTCATCTAGGTGCTATTATTATCTCCATTTCATGGATACGGAAACTAACCCCAAGTCCTTACAGCTGACCAGTGGCAGAGCCCAGACTTGCATGACTTGTGTGACCCACCCCAAAGGCACTGAAGCACTGGTAGCAGAGACATCAGACACTCTTGGGCCCCTCTCACTCTATGGTCTGGGAGGGGAGCAGTCAGGTACACAAGGGGCACCTGGTACTTCCTATATGGGCCAGACCTGACAATGGGTGTGGCCTGGGAGCCAAGAGCTTCAGAGTGGGCCTGAGGAGGGGGCCAGGGCTGGTGCCAGGGGCTGTGTGGGGGAGAGTAGAACCTCCCATGTGTGTCATCTTTCACCTGGGAGGGGGTGTTTCAAAGCCCAAAAGAAGCACTAGCCCCACCCACCCTGAGACTCCACGGGCAGATGCCTCCCCAGGCAGGAGGCTCTCAAAGATGTGAAGCCATGGCCTATGGCCTTGGTCTGGCCACCAGGAAACCCTCGGAGGAGCCCAAACACAACTGCATATACTGGGCATCTTCAGATCACTCCAGCTCTCTAGACTTCATCCTTTGCATTTATAAAATAGTCTTGGGGCCTTCCCACCCACCAGCAGCACTTCTTTGCTCCTAAGAAGTCATGTAAGACAAGAGGCAGCTGATATTGAACTTCCAGGGGCACAGTGGGTCTCGGTGTCCCTCAACCCATGTGCACCCACCCCAGGTTGGAGTTCACACCCTGTCTTCAACAGCCAAATGCCCTTACCCTTGAAACAGACCCCACTGACACAAACAGTGAGGGACCAGGTCCTGAGCGTGCTAAGCACTGGACCTGGAGCAAAAAGTAGCCCTGTCCATGCAATGTCCCCAAGTCCCCTCCTCAGCCACCATCACCTCCATATGTCAGCTGTGCACAATGACTCAAAGGGACATGTCTCACACATTAGGATGCCACTACTACAGGTGGTGTCGGGACTCAGGCAGACCAACACCAGCCAAGCCTGGGTTCTCCAGAGTCTTAGGAAACCATCTACTGTGCCCCATCCCTGCCCACTTCTTGGGAAGAGTTCACCTATTCCATTCCTGGAGCCTCCAGCCTGCCAGGCACTTTCTCTGTCAATTCCCCTCTGAAGGAGGAGAAGTAGCAGGGAAAGGGCCTGGAATGCCACCATTTAATCTGTCACCACTCTACAAACAGGCCTGCAACAGGGAGAGTGAGCCTTGTAATTACTAAGGCCCTACGTGGCCTCCACCAGCAAAGCAAGCCTCAGGTGACCCATTCGAAACCTCCACCATTCCCAAAGGAAGGGATAACCAGTTCAAGTAACTAGAAAACACAAACGTGAATTCCAGAACTGGATGTGGTGGCGTCTACTGGTAGAGAATGGTATTGCAGATCAGCCCTATTAGTCATTAAACTCCCAGTGTAAGGATGGGTGGAATCCACATGTGGACGTCAAGCACTTTGAGTCTGGTCATGCTCAAGCCTGGGAGAAATCCCCAGGTATGGATGGACAAACAGAAGCAGGCTGATCACATGGGTCTGTGCAGCACCTTCATATCCTAGATCTCATAGAATCCTCTCAAGGCACACTCAAGGTAACTAAGGCACAAAGAGGGCATGAGAGTTGCCTAAAGTCACACTCCTAGAAATATGCAGCTGCCTCTGGGTCAGGCAACTACTGTGGCTCCTAGGGACCATAGGCTGGTCCCATGACAGCATCACACACACATACCACCCTCAACTTTCAGCTGCCCAGAACAAGGAGCCCTAGGCCAACCTCTTCCTTTTCCATGCCTGGTCTCCTCCCCTGAGAAATGCAAACAGGCGCACCCCACTTTGAGTGAGCTGGTGGGAGTAGAGGCAGCGCAGAGCAGTGTGGGGCCAGGGTTGGCTCCCTCACCTTCTGACACAACCCAGAAGAAAGCAAGGCTCACTGGGTACCAGCTGGCTCTGCAGTCACTACCACCAGAGCAAAACTAGACGGGCAAGGCCTCACCACAGTGTCAGGAGGGAGACTGGCCAGGTGACACCCAGGCCTGGGAGTGCACTCAGAAGCTGGGCTGGGCTGGGGCAACAGATCCTGAGGGCCTGGCCACCCTAGGAGCCATGTCTTTCTCCCTGGCCTGACAATAAGGATTTCAGGACCTGGTGGGGCAGTCACTCCTGGATTCTCCCAGCTCCTATCTCCCAGCTCCTGCCTCTTCTCCCTCCTCCCTCTCTAGGTTATTCTGGGAGGACAAGGAAGAGGTCTGAATTAGGGAGAATCTTGGGGACAGACTGACAGACCACCTCCAGGGTGGCTTCCCTTAAGAGGCAGAGTCCTGCCAGCAGTCCCAAGGCAGCAGGACAACAGGGCCAGGGGAGAAGGGGAGATTTCTCAGCCGTGAACACCAGCTCCTGAAGCTGCAGCCACTCAGGGCACCGGGGAGAACCCAGTGGGCCCCATGGCTCCATGTTCTGGCCTAGCTGGGCCTGAGCAGCTGGCTGGGTTGGTTGTTTGCTTGTTTGCTTTCCCCAGCAGGAAGGGGAGGGAGAAGGAGGAGAGCGCCAGAAGGAAGGAGAAAGGGAGACAGCTGGCCTGGCTGCCCACTTCAGGCTGCACCCCAAAGTCCCCCAACCCCAAAGCACCACGGAGGAAGTGGGAGCTGATCAGGGAGAGGAGGAATGGGTCAGAAAGGGAAAGGCAGGGGAGGGGGGCTTCAGGGAAGGGCAGCAGACATGGGGTAAGTGAGGGCAGGGGTCCAGCCACCAGAGCTAGCCTCAGTCTCCAGCCTCTGGATGCGACTTGTCCCCATCTCGAATATGGGGCACCCGGTTCCTCAGGCACCCTAGTCCTCCCTACACTGTCCCCAGCCCACCGGAATGAGCCACACAGGGAGACTTCTGCAATGGCCACGGAACAGCAGACCACAGCAGATTCTTGGCCCCTGGGGCTCTCATTGTGGGTGACCATCCCAGCAATGGCCCGTGCTCCGCTCCTGAGCGCGTCCTGTTTACACACAGCCTCCACAGCAGACACTTTCCCAGCGCCTGGCGACAATGGGCTGGGTGTGCTTTCTGGACGCTTCTGGCCAGAGACTTTCTGGCCAGGAAGAGAATGTTGACAAAAGGGAGACCGTGTCTAAACATCCCCAGCCTACAGAGCCAGACCTGACCTCCTCCACATGCGTGCCAGCGCCACCTCTCCCTGGCCCACTATCTGTCCCCACCCGCTGATAGGTGGGGGCTGCGATAAGACCTTATTCTTAAAAAGTCATACTTTGGACTTGCAGAGGCCCCCACAAGCTTATCTGATGCACCAAGCTCACTCCCTTGCAGCTCGGTGGGGCTGGAGGGCTGGACTGGGGGCCTCAGAACCAACATAAAACCAGCTGACACACAGCACCTCCTCCTGCCCAATGGCCACAGAGGGGCCTTAGGAGGGGGGCTGAGTAGCAAAACCAATCACCAAATGTCAACACTTCCTAGCCTGTGAACCAGCAGCCCCAGAGCCCTATGGGCTTCAAACTTGTCCTCCATCTTTGACTCATCAGTCATCAATGAGACACAGAGCTTAGGGAAGAAAAGGAACAGGAGCCGACAACCCAGGACAGGAGAACAGAGAGAGGGAGGAAACCAGGCCCGGTCCAGGCAAAGATGCCTAGCACACCACCTCTACTTACAAAAGTCACTGAGCTGCAGGCCAGGAGGGCTGCACGGAAGAAGCAGTAGACAGACCTCTCCCTCCCTTAGGACTAAAAGCTGATCAGGCCACCAAGCTTAATGGAGAATGCACATATCTGGAGACCAGAAACAGACTTTTGGAGCAAAGAGACAGAATGTGCAAGGATGCCTCGGCTGCCCAGAGCAGGGTTTGACCACTCTTTGGGCCCCAGAGGGTAGAGCATGGGCACCAGGTGTAAAAGTTACATCGAATAAAGGGGAAAAAAAATAATAAAAAGTGCTATTGTCATCCTAACAGCCGCCCAACAATGAATGGCACAGGCTGCTTCTGGAGTGGCAAATTCCCCGTGGTATCAGCTTGGGAGCAGAAACTACAACCAGTACTAGGGAATGGCCCCGGGGGTACTCATTTGCAGACCAGGTTCCTTTGGAAGAGGGAAGAGACACCCCAATGACCCAAATTCCTGTGCAGGTCCCCCAGGCTGCACAAGCTCCCTCCAGCACAGACCCCCTCAGCAGGAAATGGGGGAACCCCCACCAACTCCTTTCCTGCCTCTGCCTGGCAGGCGGGGGAGGTAGATGAGGGGGCAGGAAATGTCAGCCTGACTGCAGGGGGTGGGGGAGCCCCCAGGATACCAGCCCCCTCCCTGGCAGTCAGGGAGCCCCAGCCCTTTGGAT